TATGAGAAATAATATTTTTTAATAATCCCTTTTTCATTCAGGATATTAATAAGAAAATAGCAGATCATGTAGCTTTTGGATTAATCCACCAGTTTATTAAAATTAAACACTATCTACAGATTTGCATCGAATCGTTTTTTATAATAATGATTTTAATTACAGTCAGATTAAATCTATACTGGACCCAATTATGCCACGTTCCCACTGTGCCGCGACACTATTGTGCTACTGTTTTTATTATAGTCCTTGTTGAGAATTTTTTTCGTATTTTTTCAATATTTAATAAGTTTTTAAAGAAGTAATGAGACCATATTTTTAGTGTAATTAATACTTATATTCTTAATATTATAAAACTTTTTTGTGACATGTTCTGAATATATTTTAAGATATTTGAATTTTGTTTTACAGTTTTTAATTACTTAAAAATCATACAATTTCAATCGAATGCTATGAAAATTTTTCTCGTATATCAAAGTTAAAAGTCTTGATACAATACTAAAAAAAAAAAAATTGTTTTATTTATGAATAAATTTACTGGTCTACAGAAATTTTCATCGGAGACACAACCATAATATACTTTTTTAAACTCATTTTTGCTACAATTTCAAATCAGCAATCAGAGTTTCGCATATGGCCAAAAAATCCTTCTAGTACATATCTAGTAATATAACAAATATTTATGTTCATATATTAAGTTACATATGAATAACCAAAAAATACATTTTAATTAAAAATAAGTTTAAAAGGTCTACTTATTATACGCATTTTTAATTTTTAAACAACCCTCGTGTAAAGGAAAATGTTTCGATTTAAAAAAAAAGGTATAAGAAATGATATATATAAATAGTATTTCTTATAAAAAAATTATAATGATCAATACATTTTTTAAAAAGTTATAGGATTTTAAAGTTAAACATTTAAAATATAAAATCGAGAATTTTCTAACAAAAACAGCATTTGGTAGCCATTTTCACTGTGAAGACAAAATAAGTCCAAAATTTTTTTCTATAATAAAGTATATTACATTAGCTTTAATTTAAGATATATATAAAAGTGTCAGTATTTCCGGAACAATTTCAAAAGTTAAGTTGAAAAATATAATTTTTTGTCAAATAAGTTGTCGTTTTGAATTGCCCCCCGTGGGCAGGTAAAGGACCAAACTTACAAAAAAATATACAAAATGATTGATAAATACCTCGTATTTCTATAAAAAAAATTGTATTGATCCATACATTTTTCAAAACGTTATGGCAGTTTTAAGTAAAAAGGATTGAAAATATGTCAAAAATTAGCGATTTTTAAATTTGTAATTTTTTTGGAGATATACTCTATTAAAAAATCAATTATAAACGGATATTCTATTATATTTACCAATTTCTTTTTCTTCCTTAGTCATTTCGTCACCTTCGTTAAAAATAATTCGTGTTACTTCATAAAGTTTCTTAATAGGAACCATGCAATCTTTTACTTCTTGTAATAAAAGTGTATTTACCTCTGTACTGATTATATTAGCGACACTTAAAGTATCGATTAGCTAAAAAACATTATAACCTGTTAATATTATTTAATTTGTTTACATAACTGAAGCAAAACATTTGACTTCAGTTATCAGTTCATAAAGGTAATGCATGGCTAAACTTGTAAAAATTAAACAAAATATTTAATTCAATTTATATGTAGCCAATGATTTATCTATAAAAACTTACAGTGAAATAGCTATAAATTTAAATTGGGATTAAGGTGTTCTGTTACTTGGCCATTTTATTTATTTTATATTGATATATTAAAAATATTTTTAGTTTTAAATAATATTAGCTACAAGTAGTCAATTTTCATTATATAATTTTAGTTCATTTGAACGCGGTCCTGTTAATTAGGAAATTTATAGATGTAATAGATCTTACTTATTAGCTACTCAACCAGAAGAGAAGGTATTTAGATAATCTAATTTATTTTTGACCAAATAAGAATTTTTTTTTTTTGATAATTTTATAAAATTTATATCCAGATCATAAAATGCTAATTTAAACTTATCCTTTCCTGAATTTAATTTTTTGGAAAATTTAGCATTTCTTAATTTATTTTAAATAGTCTTGCTCATTACTTGATCTTATATTATACAATTCAACTTCTCATTTTAAGTCTTTAAATAACAATGTTTTATTAGTTTCTGTATATAATTACATTCCTCTTATAAATATCAATTATATTAAGTTCTACACATCTTACTCCTTTTTTTTTTACTTGAGACACCTATGATTGGCATCCCGGGTTCGAATTTTTTAAAATTAGTAATGATATTTCAATCATTGTTGATGAATTTTATTTAATAATTTTTTATGCAATAAATATTTTTATTCTAATATTAAGTTAACTCTCATGACGAGTATATTTAGTATTTTCTTCTACACGTACTCAATTTAAAACTTTAAGTGAACAAGAGTACTTCTAATATATATGTTCGTGCATTTGTCGGTCGGTTATTTATAACAGAATGTAAGTATTTCAGTGATTATACATGTTAGACTTAAGTCATTATATGAATTAGTAGTACTGAAGTATTATTATCGTTATTACTATACAGTTAAGTGTTTTATTTCTATTTTTAATCTTAAAGGTGTTCACAATCTACAAAATTAACCCTTTGACTTCAATAGAAATCATACAAAAAAACGGTAGCACAGTGGGGTCGCGGCACAGTGTGAAGGTAATATAGTTGGGACTAGTATAGATGATATTTGACAGTGATTAAAATTATTATCATAAGAAACTCTTCGATGCAAATCTGTTAATAGTGTTCAATTTTAAGAAATTGGCGGATTAATAAATTTTAAGCTACTTTTTTTTATGAAAGTTTATAATAAAAAAAAAAAAAATGAATTTATTGTCATAATTTTTAGTTCAACTCAAAAAAAAAAATGAATCTACTCAATTGAGCGTATTATAAATTTTGATTATAAATGTAAAAAATCAGGTGAAACAAAAATCTTTTTTTTTTAGATTTATGATTCATATAGGAACATGATACAAAAAAAATTGGAATGTTATAGACTGGTAGTAGCATAAATCACTATCACAAAAAACGCTTCGATGCAAATCTGTAGATAGTGTTTAATTAAAAAAAATTGGTGGAATACTACAAAAGCTACATGATCTCCTATTTCCTTATTTATATCCTGATTACAAGTTTTATGATTTATAATTGTAATATATAGATAAAGTATGTCGAATGAAAGATGTATATAAATACTACTTTTCATAAAAAAATTGTATTGATCCATACATTTTTCAATGCCATTTTCACCGTGAAGACAAAATAAAGTTCGAAATTGTTTTTTTCCATAATAAAGTACATTGCATTAGCTTATATATAAAAGTGTCAGACTTTTCGGAACACTCTCAAAAGTTAAGTTAAAAAAGTTAATTTTTTTTGAAAAAGTTGTCATTTGGTATACCCCCTGTGGGCTGGTAACGGGTCAGCTTTATAAAAAAATATACCAAATGATAGGTAATTACATCAAGCATCTATAAAAAAAAATTATATTGATTTGTTCATTTTTGAAAAAATGATGGCAGTTTTAAGAAAAAAAATTTCGAAAATTAGTGATTTTTAATTTGTAATTTTTTTTGGAGGTTCCCTCCATTTACGGGGAACGAGGGAAAGTTTTTCAATTTTTGAGGGTAATGTTTTCGACTAGATACGATTTGTGATCTTTTGACGTATTGTTGAAAGAAATCATTTCGATGAGAGCTGAGGAAAAGTGGTAACAGACACAAAAAAATTTAAAAAAAAATTACATTATAGTAAAATCTTTCTCAGCTTCGCATCTAAGCTAAAATTAATAAATTACAAAGTAAAGCTATTTACTTTTATAGTTGAATAGTTTTATCATATCAAATCTAATTCGTCAATAAATACTTTAAAAATATTAGAAATGAATGATTTTAATTGTTTGTATGGATAAAGCTGGTTAGCTACTCTTTATTTAATTCAGGGATTTGTTTTCAATTTTTGAGGGTAATATCTTCAACTGAATACGAATTGTAATAATTTAACGTATCTTTGAAAAAAGTAGGTTAAGTGAGGGTGGGAAAAATAAATCGCAGCCAAAAAAAAATAATCATATAATAAAGTAATATCAACATGAATAAATGAATAAAGAAATTTCATCTCATAAGGGGAGACTACAGTGATGGGATACTTGATATTTATTGGTTATTGAATTTAAATGAGATAAAAATCAAATAATTTGAAATTTTTTTTTCTAATTCAAAAAGAAAGTTAGTTTAAGATATTTTAAAATACAATAAATTAGAAAACCAAGAATTTGAACACAAAAATATCATATTCTGAATACGGTTGGGTTTTTCACCAAGAATAGAATATATATTTCGAATTTCATTTTTTTCATAGTAATGTACATTACATAAGTTTTAATTTAAGATTAAATATAAGTGTCAATATTTCCGGAACATTTTCAAAAATTAAATTGAAAAAGCTTAATTTGTATGCAAAAATTACTTTTTGCATCCCCCCTATAGACTGGTTTATAGGCAGATTTTCAAAAAAATTATATCAAATAAAAGGAAAATATCTAAGATTTTAATATAAAAAATAATATTTTAATTTGTTAATTTTTCAAAAAGTTATGGCAGTTTTAAGTACAAAAAACATCATGATAGAAGTTGATTTTTTTCGGAAATATTACATTTTTTGTTGAATTTCAGCGGACATTTGCAAATATTTGATTAATATTATATTATTTTGAAATTTTTTCAATTTTTGAGGGTAATGTCCTTCGACTAGATACAATTTGTGATCTTTTGACGTATCATTTAAAGAAATCGGTTCGGTGAGAGCTGAGAAAAAGTGGTAATAGACACAAAAATAAATTTTTCACAGATTATATAATATAATAAAAGAGATTAAAAAATATTTGTTTGAGCCATTTTGAAGAGACCAAAGTTTACATTGTAACATTGTTGTAGGTTGTGACGTAAAAAATTGACTTATCATTAATAGTATTATTTAACACATTAGTTAATTAAATTAGTTATTGTGAACATCATATAATTAAGTGTAACTGCTCGGCAATTGGTAATGCGGTGTTATTGTCTAGATAGTATTAATTTCGTGGTGAATAAAAACTAATTTTGAACAGTATAATTCAGTAATAACATAATTAAATTTTCCTAAATAATGCAGTCGCACATTCCTTTTTTCTATTTTATCTGTTGTACAATCGTTCATAACAAATTATCATTGTGATAACAAACGCCCAGCTGACCACTACAGTACTGTCAATCATTCAACCGGTCCCAGATGTCTGTCAACGAGGCATGCACTGATGTCGGCGTTTGTTTCCCCTTCCGGTCCATGTGTGTCGTCGCCGTCAAGTGGTCTGGCCGTTTTGTTAAAATGTGCTTTGGCCGGTCATTTTATTCTGTCTCCAGCCTTCTACTTATTTTTATTTTGCGATATTGAACATCTCATGGCTGCCTAACTTTCACTTTTGGCCCTGGCGATCGAGCCATGGGTGAAGATTCATTTGTTGGCTACGGCCTGGGCATCATGATAATATAATTTGGTAACTTTGTACAGCATTCCCGTTTTTCTTTATTTTTGTCCATTTCATTGTTTCCTCTATTCGTGCATTGTCACGAGGTTTCTTTAAAAATGACATTAATATATTTTAAATATTTTAATATGATTATTCTATCTGATCTCTTGGCATATTTGCTCATTGACTATTGGTAAATTATGATAAAATATCATTTTCGTCCATTCTATCATTATTTTTATTATGTTGAGTGTAATAAAACCTCACATGTGTTGGACCAATCTAGACGTGCTTAGCAGTCTCAAGGCTCGGTATAAAAGGCCTCGATCCATATTGACCGATGTCATGTTCTTAGTTTGAGCATTATTGCAATGATAACCATTTTATTTTATTCAATATTGGAAAGTACGATCCTGTCCCTTGGTCAAATCGAACATAGTCAATACAGCGGTGTCAGAGATTATTTTTTCCCTCATGTCCCTTTTATTTTATTTGTCCTTTAGCTCGTTTAATAGTTTGTAATAATTTTAACTATGACTTGAAATATGTTATATAAAAGAATTTGTAATTTTATTTTATTTTGAACATTTGTAACTGACATTTATTTTATTGTACTTTGGGCATTATTATTTTAGTTAAACTCAGTATATAAAATAGAACATCATCGCCTATACTACTTGTCTACCAGTTTTTAATTCCTTTTCCCCTAGAGTTAAGGTAAAAACTTAGTAAATTAAAACAACAAATGTGTCAGTTATATTT